TTTTAACGGCGGTTTCATTACCGCCATTAAAGAGTCATTACCGGCGATTTTGTTAACGACGATAACGAAAACCACCGTTAAAAATACATTAATGGCGGTTTCGTTACCGTCATTAATAGTATCTTTAAACGGTGGTAACGAAACCGCTGTTAAAAAAATTGCCGTTAATGCCCTGTTTTGGCGTAGTGTAACAATGGATGAACATAGAACTTCGAACACAAAGTGACAATGAAGGAACACAAAACTTCACTGCAATAATGGAGGAATATAATATTATTTCACTACCATGTGTAAACTAGAATTTCTAAACCCTATCAACTAGAGAGTTTCAAAACCCTAACACAATGAAATAATACCACAAATGTGAATAAATTTGATCAAATAGAAAAACGTGAATAATAGTAACTACCAAATAGAGGTAGCAACAAAAAGGAAATGTATATATCATTTTTCTATGTAATACATATTAAAAAAAAAATTGCTTAAAATATTAAAAAAATTCAGTAAAAATAAAAAATATATATAAAAAATAAAAAAGTATAATTTTTTAAAAAGTATTTTTAAAAAACTAAAGGCTTCGTTTGGAAAGTGCGTTGGCTTTTTGACTTTTTTGACTATTTTAGCCTAGGTTAAAAAGCTTGGTTTGAGAATGACTTTTTGACTTTTTGACTTTTTTTGTGAGAGAAGAGTGTAATGATTGTAGATTAGATGTGATATTTTGTTTGTTATGACTAAAATAATCTATTTTATCTTTTGTGACTAAAATAATTAAAAAAACCCATAAACTATCTTCCCAAACGGAGCTAAAGTCAAACAAGTTCGTATTATTAATCTAAATGTTCATGTGAGAAATGATTAGAACGTATATAATGCTTACACCAAAAAAAAAAAAAAAAAAAAAAAAAAAAAAAAAAAAAAAAAAAAAGATTGTTGCAGTGTAGTAATCATGCCCCATTATGTGATCTTTTGACAGATGGGTTAAAAGTTGCGTTTGTAACTTACACCCTGTTTGGTAAAATTTATTTTTAATTTATTTTAATTTATATCTTAGTTTAAGTTATTTTGATGTGTTTGGTTCAGTTTAACGATACAGCTTATAACTTTTTGTAAGTTAAAAATCAACTTATTCTTTGAGTGGGGGAGGAGAAGCTTAATTTATAAGTCAAAAATTAGTTTATATTCACAGTTATAAGATATAAGTTGTTAAGTTATAAGCTATAATTACTTTCCCACAGCACTACCAAACGAAGCCTTATTGGTGTTTTGAAAAGTTGGTAAAAAATAAATTTTTGACTTTTTTGATAGTTTTTTTGACAAAAAAAATAGATTCTTTTGGGTAAAAAAATTGATTTTTTTGACTAAAAAAACTAAAAAGCTAAAAAATTGACTTTTTTAGCCTCTTCTCAAAGTGCTTTTAGGGGTTAAAAAAGTTATTTTTAGCTATGGAGTCATTTGGCATGTTTAAAAAGTTATATATAAAATTATAATTATACCCTTTATATTATTTAGGATTATACATAGGTAAATATGTAAATTTTTAAAATTGAGTAGGATAATTTAGTCATTTTATTGTGATGTGACATTATAAATAAATATTAACCGAAAAAGTCAAAAGCAGTTTTTAATCATTTTCTCAAATCACTTTTTAAAAAAGGCAAAAAATTTGATAAAAAATTAAAAGTCAACTTTTTATCATATTCTCAAAACATCGCATATGTGCACGCACAAATAATAATATTTATGTTATTTTTAAAAAGGGTAATAATACCATGTTTTGTTAAAATTGAATTCCCTTTTCAAAAAATAAATTTTTTTATTTTTCATATTTTTTTGTTTTAAGTAAATATTTTTAATATTTTATGTAAATATTTTTATTTTTTAGATATACTTAATCTAAATACGCTTAACAAATATAATATTTGTGAAAAAATAACTTTAAAAAATTCACTAAATACAAAAAATACAAAAAAATATAAAAATTTAATATATTTTCGTATTTTATTGTATTTAATAAATTTTTTAAAGATTTTTGTACAATTTTTTTACTTTTTAAATATATTAAGATTAAGTGGATCTAAATTTTTTTAAAAATGATTAAAAAATTTTAAAATATTATTTAAAATACAAAAATAAGAATTGAAAATTTAAAAAATTATTTTTAAAAATTCAAAACCAAACAAGATTAGCACTTAATTTTATTCGCCTCACAGTTTGTTTGGGACTCTTTTCGGCACTCGTGTTCTAAATGGGTAAGGGTGGGCCCACCAACTGTGTCAACTAAATTTCGAAATGTGGGCTGTTCGGCACCATATGGGCTGTCATCTTGTTCTCAATTATACTGGGCTTTTTTGTTTGTGTTTGTTGGGCTCCCTTACATATAGAAAATCCTCACTAATATATTGAGAATGACATAAAAAATAAAAATAAAAATAAAAATAAGGCATAAAAAGTGGGGAGCCCACTGTCATATCATTTTTTAGTATTTCCAAACATTTTTAAGAATAATAATAAATAAATAAAAATTAAAAAAAGTAAAAGTTACAAGTCCTGAAAATGGATAGTTAGGCTCTGGACCACTACAACACTTCTTTTGTTCTTTCTTATTATTTATTCTTCTCTCTCTTTTTACGGGGCTAGAAAAATGAGAATGTATCTCAAAAAAAATTCATATATTTTTTAAATATATATAAATAAATAAATACATATAAATAATTACATTACATCTCAGAGATGTAATCATAGTATGGAGGACATATACATTTGTGATTAATAGAAAGTAGTGCCACGTGGTACCCTATTGACATACAAAAATTTCTTCATAGCATGAGCTACTGTAATCATTGAAGTTGGAAAATAGAGCATCCTTAAAAGAAAAAAAATTAAATTAAATAATTGTAATCTATTATTTCAATAATCTTAAATTTTTTAATTTATGAATAAATTTCAATAAATTAAACGGGTCTCATGACCACTCTATGCATAACCGCTGCAGTGGCGGCCGCCACCAAATCCTCAGAGCATCAAACATCAACCACCCATGCATTTATACTATTTTTTAAGTTTTTTTTGCTCAACTCATTCAAACACGAGGCGTCTCGGTAGGGACAGAATAATAATACTATAATTAATACAATGTTTGGATTAATTATGTTTGTCTAATTTTTATTTTGGAATACTAAATTTTATTGAATTTTTAAAATTGTTCTTATAACTCATTATAAACACATTTTAAAATTCAAAAGTGAAAAAAAATATCAAAATTTAAATTAAAATGTAATGATTGTTTGTCTCCTTATTAATAAGTTGAATTTTTTTTTTTTATAATGGACAAATAAATTGAGACAAAAGGGAGTGTTTGATTTAATACATGCACAATCATTAACACATGAAAAATGTTAAATATAAATTTTTTTTTTGTTGTATTTTCTCACTTGGATACAAGTGAGTGAGTTTTATGTGCATTAATTAATATGTGTCTCATGATTTTGTGTAAAAATAATATAAGAAATGAAATTATATATATAATATTGAACTTAGCTCTTATCATATTGTAAACAAAATATGATTTTAAAAAGTACAATAATTTTAAGATCATTATATTGATTAGTAATAGGTTCCAATAGTCATGTATATTACTCATGCAGTGTTGCTACAAAAATAAAATATCATCAACTTAACTTTATTAAAAAAAATATATATATAAGAAGGGTAACATTTCTTAGAAAAAAGGGTAAATCAGAAAAGAAAAGAAAAAAAGAATGAGAGACTTACGTGTAAGTCTTAATAGGTAGACTTATTATCTAATAAGTCTTATGATAATTAATGGTATTTGTCATTAAATATTATTAAAAAAACGTCGCTACTTGTTAATTCTCAGCGATAGTTTGAAAATTTTGTCACAAAAAAGTCACTAATTATAAGTTTTAGAGATAGTTTAAAAAAATTGTCACAAAAAATTACTAATTTTTAACTTTTAATGACAATTTAAAAAATTCATCACAGAAAAAAAAATCACTAATTATAAATTTTAGTGATAATTTATAAAAATCGTGATAAAATAAATATAATAAATAGTATAGAACAAGAATAATACCCCCTCACCCCCTTTTGCCATGTGGCGGGTGGTGATTGGAGGAGCAGGAAAAAAAAGAAAAAGAAAAAGAAAATGTAACTAATGAGAGAGAGAGGGGGTCAAAGGGGGTGGGCGAAAAAGGGGGAATGAATCATTATTGATAGAACAATAGTTAAATACTACAAACTAACCCTGGATAAGTTAGGGCAAACATGGACCCGAGTTGTAGCCCAAGTAATTTTGAAAGGATACTTGTATAGCAATATGAAATCTCAAGGTTGAATCAATAAAAAGACATCAACCAATATAACAAACTAAGGCCAAGTTTGAGAATTATTAAAAAAGTTAAAAAGTTATTTAAAAAGTTAAAATGTTATCACTATTCATCAAAAGTCAACAATGACGGCTGCACAATTCTCAATATTAATTTTTTCCTACACATTAATTTATACAATTTTTTAATACATATTTTTTCATAAAAAGTTAAAAAGTTAACCCAAACATTTATATTTTCAACCTCAACTTTTTAACCTAAAAAGACAAAAAGTACACTTATTTAGGACACCCCAAACAAACCCAATTATTTACTCGTTCACTATCTATTTGTAAAAAAAAAAAAGGAAAGAATTTTTAAAAAATGGAGTAGAGATAAAATAATTTCAAAATAATAAAATTACAAATAGTTAATGTATAAATTTATTGAAGAAAAATTTGTACTATCATTATTTTGAAACTACTTTTCCTAGTCTCAACTTTTTTGATAACCCAAAAAAAATAAAAAAAATATGACCTTAATTAACACATTGGCATTCAGTGGGCTAGCTTTATAAACATGGGAAATGTTAAAGACGCTTCAGTGTCTGTACTTTTAAGAAGCTTCCTTCGAAAAAGACTTCATAGATGGCATGCTCGAAAAACTTTCTAATTCTAACCGTCACATACGACCCAATTTTTTGTTATAGCCTCCATGCCCAATCATACGTACAATACACATCTTCCATATAATATCACAATCCTTGAAGCTAGGTCCAAAAATAGAAGATTGACATTAGGCTTGGCAACAAAAATAAAAATGGAAGGAGTTAACCAACAAGGTGGGAAGAAGACAGAGAACAAGGGCAGAGGAGGAGGAGGAGGAGGAGAGGCCAAGTACCGCGGCATACGGAGGCGGCCGTGGGGCAAGTACGCGGCGGAGATTCGTGACCCAACCAGGAACGGCGCACGGTTGTGGCTTGGCACCTTTGAGACCGCTGAAGAGGCTGCTCGAGCTTATGATCGAGCCGCCTATGAATTGAGAGGCCATCAAGCCATTTTGAACTTTCCAAATGAATTTCATTTCACGAACCCGGGTTCTGGGCCGGGTTTGGCTAGGTCTACGGTGGCAGTGTCGTCATCGGTGTGTTCTTCTTCTTCTTCTGCCAATGCCGGCAGAGAGGGGTTGGAAATGGGGGGAGGAGGAGGAGAGGGAGTGCTTGAGTTTGAGTGCTTTGATAATGAGTTGTTGGAGGAGCTTCTTGGGAATAAAGAGGAGGGGCGTGAGAAGAAAAGACCCAGAATTTTGTAACTCCGTGCATAAAATTTGATCATAAAATTAGATATAGTTCTCTTTCATATTAGTATTTTTTTTATAATTTTTTTAATGGCTTTCAATCCATAATGCAAGTGTCAATGTATGTTATGAACATATCTAATTCTTTGATTAATTTCCAAGTGATGTGGTTTCTTTATTTCTATGGCACAATGTATCCAACTTTTATTTACTTATTATTTATTTGTTTTTGAGAATTTGTGTTACATTATAGCACTTCTCACTCATAATATACGATGGATCATCATATTTTGTTTACAAGAGTATCTTGTATAATCAAATTTTCAGTACAGAGATGAAATTTTCATATAGTTCGTTCAATCGATTTGTTAATTGTTTGGGCACTCGAAACATCTCAAGAACTATCAAACATTCATATTATAATTTTTCAAAAAGTTTTGTTAATGAGTGTACGAAGGACACTTGATAAGAAACTTAAAAGAGTAATGTTAATTAGATACTCCAAATATTATATCAAAAATTTTATCAAATATTTCACATGGGTGTGGGACCCACATAATGTGGGTCTCACACGAGACATTTGGAAAAAATTTTGATAAAATTTTTGAGACCTTTAACATTTTTAAACTTGAAATAGTTGTACATAATTCATAGAAGTTCATGTAATATGTAATGTACAATTAATTTAAACATTATTAACCAATATCCTTAAGACCATCTCTAACGGTTAAGCAGATGTATCACCAAATTTGAATTTAGTAAAAAAATACATCTTTTTTAGCTCCAATGATTTCATCAAAATAGTACCAGATTGAGAACGGAGCAAAACTTCCACCAAACTAAAGAGCTAGTCTCATTTCACCATTTCACTGTTGGCGGTTGTCCCACTGGTCATCCGGTTTAAACAGAATGCAGAGCTGCAGAACTTTTTAGTACCAAGTTTTAGAATGGCGATATTGGTAAGGGTTGGGTGGTTGTGAAGGTGGTGATTCAGGGTGCAAGAATCTACAAGGGCTCTTGGTGCATCTCCCAGCGAGCCAGAAGGAACAAACATTGTGTTAACTTACAGTAACATAGAGATCAAAAGTCTTGGTTTATTCATTGCACTGATGTTGTTTAAATAGAAATTTACACAACTGAATATCCTCAAAATAAGGAACTGACTCAACATGAAAGAAGGAAATTCTACCAAGTCTACAGCAGACTTATTTAGTTCCTAAAGAAGTGGTCAATGCCAGAAAAACAGGACAAGACTCAACTAAATTCTTAACACATTGTTCACAGGTCCTCCTCTGATTCTATCATAAACAGATTTTTGCGTCCTCTCTGAAACTCTCCCTACTGCTTTTATATTCATGGAAAAGCAAAAGAGTCGGATCCGACCATCGTCGTACCTACGTTGGTAGCTTCCTGAAACTCCATTAATGGCGATCGAAGGAAAAGCTAAAATTAACAAATCTTCCAAAGATCAATTAACCTATACGACAATGCTACGTAGCTCAAATTTTGTGGCTCAAAAGTGGCTTAAATGGCCAAAACGACGTCGTTTTGGCCATTTGAGCCACTTTTGAGCCACAAAATTTGAGTTACGAGACATTTTCCTAACCTATATATACAGAAGTAGCAAACCTGAGATCGATTGAAGACCTTCGAGATCACAATGCCGAGAACTGTGATTGTTTGATTGATTGAATCGAACCAAACGTGTTCAGATCGTGTATCGATTGAAAAGAGAGAGATATAAAGAACGTAATTTCAGTGCTGTGTCCGGTCGTCTCACCGGACGTCCGTGACTTTTGATGCAAGCTAGTGCACCCGTTAGAACAACTCATATCAAATTTAGAAAATCGTCAATTTTATACTCAGATTTGAATGTTTTAAACACTTGTTAACCAAACTTTTTTTTTAAATACAAATTTCCGTTTATATTGCATTACTGTTGCTTGGCAATGTTGGTCACTAAAAAAGAGTTCTGTCCTGAGTTCTATCCAATGTGAGTTAAATGAAAAAGTAATTTCTCTACTCTATTAATTTTTAACTCATTAATGAACTTATTGTTTATAGATTGATATGACAGTTGAGTTATACCCATCATTTAATTTTAATGAGCTTTTATTTTTACAATTCCTTTGTTCATTATCTTAATATACTCTTAGTTAATTTAACTATGTCTTATAATCATATTTCTCGAAATTTTTATATGATCAAATAATGAAAAATGCATTGAGACAATGACACCTTGAATTTCTTTCTGAGATTAATCTGGCAGAGGCCATTGGGATATGTCTATTTCCGTCATTTCAATTTCATACATAAACCAATATACATATAGGAGGACCACCGTAAGCATGATGACGGATTAGAGGGACGTAATCCACCTGATCTCATCTCCCCATTATTAACCTGACCTAAAATGACCAACTGAATGAATAGATAATTATACGAAGCAAAAGCTTCCAAAACTATATATATATATATAATGAGACTAATGAGACTTTTTTGGACTAATCAAATACAAAGTCAATAAATGTGTTCCTTTGGAAAATCACAATCTAGTCTACCGTTGTCCTAATTAATAATCCAAACAAGTCAAATACTAACAAACACAACAATATGTGAAGAGAAATTTGTAAAAGAATTTTCTTCTACAAATTCAAACGCACCAAGGAGGCGACTTAGGGAGTGCGCCATGGGGTGGCTTGGGTGGTTCGCATGGTGTGTAACCATGCTCACCATGATATATGTATAATCCCCCCTCAAACTCAAATAGGTGGGAAGATAGAAACCTAATTGAGGTTGAAACAAAGGGATTGATAAAGTGAAGCAAAACAGCTCAACACAGAGTGAAAAATAATGAAAAATGCATATAATCATATTTCTCGAAATTTTTATATGATCAAATAATGAAAAATGCATTGAGACAATGGCACCATGAATTTCTTTCTGAGATTAATCTGGCAGAGGCCATTGGGATATGTCTATTTCCGTCATTTCAATTTCATACATAAACCAATATACATATAGGAGGACCACCGTAAGCATGATGACGGATTAGAGGGACGTAATCCACCTGATCTCATCTCCCCATTATTAACCTGACCTAAAATGACGAACTGAATGAATAGATAATTATACGAAGCAAAAGCTTCCAAAACTATATATATATATATATATAATGAGACTAATGAGACTTTTTTGGACTAATCAAATACAAAGTCAATAAATGTGTTCCTTTGGAAAATCACAATCTAGTCTACTGTTGTTCTAATTAATAATCCAAACAAGTCAAATACTAACAAACACAACAATATGTGAAGAGAAATTTGTAAAAGAATTTTCTTCTACAAATTCAAACACAGCCATTAAAAATAAATAATAATAAAAGTCTTGAAATTTAAAGTACAAGGTGACTAATATTAACGGGGAGACAAAATCGACCAATTATGTTGGTCGGTTTTAGTTCATGTATAAGTGTGAATATCATTTTTAGTGAAAGGATATTTAAGATTGTTATGACAAACGTGAAGATGAAGAAAAAAATTAAGATAGAACAAATATAAAAATAGGTAACGATTTATATGATCAGACGAGTTTCACTTTAAACGTTTTGAGATTATATGGGATGATTATAATGTTTCTATGTTACAATTTTTTTTTTCGTTCATGTATGTTAGGTGATGATTCATAAGTCATAAGATATTTAGAAATTGGAGAGGTGAGATTACTGGATTACGTTGTGTTATTCATCATCATGTTTATGAGGTTAATAGTGAGGTCACATGGATTATGTTTTCCTAATTCATCGTAGTTATTAAGTCACTAGAGGCAATTAATTCACTAATGAAATAGAATTTTTTTTTTAAAAAATAATAAAATATATAAATATCTCACAAGGTTAGATTCGAACTAAAAAGGGGCTGAATCTGTTAAGCATGTGTCGTTGGATGATTGACGAGAAAAAGTGAGATCAGATGGCTTACATCTGTTTTATACTCTCACAATAATAATTAATTAATTTATAATAAAGTTTAGAAAAATGTTCAAGTCCCTTAAAAAATATCTATAGTTCTACTTACAATGATGTGATAGGATATGTGTAAATTTTTAATTTATTATATACTTAATAATTATGGGTTCAATTTTCATGTCACATTATTGTGAGTAAATTTACGAGGATATATGTGTAATTTCTAACCTTACTCTAAATGTTTATTAATTAATTAAGCAAAATAATGGACGGCTAGCTCATAGAGATGGCCTATTTTATGCCTGTATGATCAAAGCACATACTCATCTCATTTGACAATGATATATATATATATATATATACACACACACAGAAATAAATAAAAACTCACGCACTAGCTAGCTAATTATTGTTAAAAACAATTTGAAAAGAAAAGTGGCTATCTCGTTTGACAATTTATAGTCTATTTTAAGCTCCATCTAATGGCTAAGCTCCATCATCTAATGGCTATATAGCGCAACAAAGAAAAGTGGTCCTAAAAACAATAGTAAAATAAAAATGGGATTACAACTATATATGGCCAAAAATATATAAAATAAAAATAAAAGTTGTTCACTTATCTTATTTAGTATATAATTTTTTTTAGTGAGGTAGATGATTTAAAGATTTGAATTTTGAAATTAGTATTTCGCATGAAGGTCACCGAGTTGATGATGTACAGTGACTCCCAGCTAGTAGTCAACTAGATTTCAAGCGATTATGAGGCAAAAGATGATAGGATGACTAAGTATCAAGACTTAGTCAGAAAGGAGATCATGAAGTTTGAAGTAGTCCGGATAGAGCAAATCGGTCGGGAGGAAAATAGTAAAGCAGATGAGTTGGCCGGTTTTGCGTCAATAGCAGATACATCTATCTCACACCCATTGCTGATTAACTTCCTACCCAGACCAAGTATTGAAGAACACGAAGCAGTCGAAGCATGCTGTGCCGAGCTACGCCCTTCCTAGATGGATCCCATCATAGTATTTTAAAAGATGGCATCTTACCTAAAAAAAAAAAGAAACCAACAAAATTAGAGCAAAATCATAGCAATTTTGGCTCTCCCCATCACTAGCATTATACAAAAAATCATTT